ACTAAAATGAAAAAAAAAAAACATAAAATGACCGAAACTAACTAAAATGAAAATGTATAATGTAAAAATAAACACCAATTTAAAATATTAATAAAAGTATTATATTAAATGATACTAAAAACACACAAAAAATGTTAAATAAAATGAAAATGGATAATATAAAAATAAACATTGATTCGGAATATAAACCATTATAGTATACTGATGATACTTAAACAAAATTATTACACATTTAATAAAATGAAAATGAAAATGGATTATATAAAAAATAATACTAATTTAAATGATAATAAAAAACACACTTGTCTGAATAGATATAAATTTGATTCTTTCCAATTAAATAAATCATTAAATATTATAACAGTATAATATAATTTATTAATATAACATTATAACAGTAACATTTATCTGCATTATAAAGTAAAAAGGAAAACCACTGAAGAACCATGAAACAAAGAAACGAGATATGTGACCCAGGAGCACAAAACCAGTCATAAGGGTCAATTTTGTGAAATTGAGATGTATGCATCAGCTGAAAGCTGAATAAATAAGCTTTCCACTGATGTATGGTTTGTTAGGATCGGACAATATTTGAAAATCTGGAATCTGAGGGTGCAAATAAAAAAAATTTCTCAGCAAGGACGCATTAAATTCATCAAAAGTGACCGTTAACATTTATAAATGTTACAAAAGATTTCTATTTCAAATAAATGCTGTTCTTTTGAACTTTATGTTCATCTGTGAATCCTGAAAAATAAAATGCATCACGGTTTCCACACAAATATTAGTGTTTTCAACATTGATAATCATCAGAAATGTTTCTCGAGCAGCAGATCAGCATATTATACTGATTTCTGAAGATCATGTGACACTGAAGACTGGAGGAATGATGCTGAAAATACAGCTGCGCATCACAGAAATACATTACAGTTTAACACATTCACATAGAAAACATATTTTACATTGCAATAATATTTCACATTTTTACTGTATTTGATCAAATAAATGCACCCTTGGTGTGCAGCAAATATTTCTTGCCTACCCTAAACTTTTGAGCATATATAAATATATATATATATATATATATATAGCATCACAGGTCATTCTTTGCATCCGCATCAGTTTCTGCGAGGAGAAGCGTGTTGATTTGACAGTATCCGTGTTCTTACCTTCTGTGCCTTTCTGCTTGAGCTGCACTTCCTTGCGATAGTCCTCCAGCTCCTGGTCTGTGAGCTTGTTGAAGGGGTTCGGTCCAGTTTTACTGACGATGACACATGGTTGGTACTCCTTCTCAATGATGGCTTTAGACGCGGTCACTAGCTCCCCCTGCAGGACAAAAGAGGATAAAGACACAAACACGGGTTAAGCACGGTCATTACTTTCATTTACAACAAAAGATCAAGAGTTAAATAGTTAAACAGGGTGAATACAAGCGGGACACTTAACATTCAAATGTCATCTAATAAGAGGCTGAACCTGATGCACACTTACATCTGTATTCTGTATGTACACGCTCACACTCTTTTTTCTTTTTTAAGCAAAAAACATAAACCATTCAAGACCGATCTATCATGAACAATGATTTATGCTTCTGTTAAAACCATGTGTGGAAGTCAGATCTTCAATAGCCGATTTACAATAGCTATATATATATATATATATATATAACATAACTACTTTTTATCCCACATTTCAGACTACTTTCTTGCAATTCTGAGGGGAAAAAAGCAAATTGCGAAAAATTTAAAAATGCAAGATAGAAACTCTGTAAAAAGATGTTAACCCACAAATATGAGTTTATTACATGTCATTACGTGATATAAACATGAAATTGCAAGAAAACAAATTCTGATTTGTGAAATAAAAACTCGCAATTACTATTTTTATTTTGTATTCCATGGTGGGAAAAAATAATAATAATAATATTTTTTAAATATATATATATATATTTAGATTTATATAATATACACATGTATTTGTATTATATACTGTATATATATATATATATATATATAATCTAAATATAATATTATACCACTTGGAATCTGCATTGATTGACGATCACCAAAAATCTGATTATAAATAACTAACTCTATAAGCAGCCACGTTCCTCATCATCATTGATACTGCTGTTGGGCGTATAGTAAGGACAGAAAAGGCTAAAAGAAAAGAGCACAGACAGAGAAAAACAGAATATTTAAGAGGATGATAGACCACGAGGGAGGCAAGTGTGAGGCGGGGTGGAGAGGCAGAAGCTGTTCTTGTGTTTAGGCAGTGAGTGGACAGCCAGAAAATCCCTTCAGCTAGTGTAACAGGACCACAAACACACATTCTCACACACAGACACACACACACACACACTACTCACCCACACTCGCACGCATGCACGCACGCACTCACACACACCACACACACACACTACTCACCCACACTCTAACACACACACACTCGCACGCACGCACTCACACTACTCACCCACACTCTAACACTCGCACACACACACTCACACTACTCACCCACACTCTAACACTCGCACACACACACTCACACTACTCACCCACACTCTAACACTCGCACACACACACTCACACTACTCACCCACACTCTAACACTCGCACACACACACTCACTCGCGCTCACACACACACACACACACTCGCACACACACACACAC